GGGGGGGGGGGAATAATGCATATTCCATATTACGCTCTGCTCGCATGTTTTTTCTTTTTCTTCAATCAATCTGTGCGGCCTGGTGCCCCTCCCCAAAAATGGCCCCGGGACATAGTTTGGGTGCTAACTAATTTTGAAAAAGTAAGGAGTGGAGCGTATCTGTTTTGAATGTGCGGAGTAAAACTCAATAGTAACTTTATTACTTGGCAGTAGCTCAAGACCGGTCGTCGGGAGACGCCTGCTTGGTGTGTCCTCACCCTCAGTGAAAGGCTCCCAGTCGTAGAGACGATCCATGAACTCTTTGGCGTTGAAGGCGGCGCACTGCTCGGCTCTGGAATCCAGCGGGGCTCCGGCGCACACCTGAAAGACAACAAACAGCTTTCAAACAAGCGCGCGGCCATGTTGTGAATGTTCGGTCCTCTGAGAGGCAATTTTGAAAATCGGGGGGGGATGGCCCATGGAGCACAAACACACACACACTCGGTCTGCGCGCGGCATTTTGGCAGCCGGGGAGCACTCTGCCATATGGAAGGAATAGATTTTCTGCGAGCGGCCAAGCAAATAAATCCATCTTGGCTTTGAGTTTGCCACCGCAAAAAGCGAGCGACTCCAGCAACACGTGCGCGCGCTCGCCACATTCAAGCGCGCTCCACCTGCCTTTCAACGGCAGACATGAGCGCTTCGATTTCGCGGTCGTGGGAAGTAAGCACTCGACTGCCAAACGCCGCGGCGCACTCACACGAGCACAAGATACACGAGTTGCCATGTGATGCGCTATCGGGGAAATATTAACATTGAATCCCCACTGCGGCAGATCATTTGAATTTACGGAATCCTTGTGGAGAATTTTATTTGTGTGTCGAACACAAGTCACGGTTTGATTTGCAACGTGGTTCGCATTTGATATGTTTGGATCGGGACTTAAAATTTCAACACTGCTTTCCCTTATGTTGATACTTGTTGCCCCCCCCATCCCTCCACCCTCCCACCGCTTGCTGCTATGCAAAATACAACGCAAAATACATGAAGTAAAAAATCAAATGTATGCGAATACTCGATTCTTCGATCATATTTTCAGTAGAATACTCCAAATATTGGTGAATTTAAGAAATGAAAACTGCAGAATATATATATTTAAAAAAAGGGAAACAAATTAGTTGCTCATAACAACGCGAAATACATGTAGTAAAAAATCAAATGTATGCGAATACTCGATTATTCGATCATATTTTCAGTAGAATACTCCAAATATTGAAATCGTTGATAGTGGCAGCCATATGTTCAACTTCATTCATTTCCCCAACCGCTTTATCCTCATTAGGATCGCAGGGCATGCTGGAGCCTATCCCAGCTGACTTCGGGCAGTAGGCGGGGGACACCCTGAACTGGTTGCCAGCCAATCGCAGGGCACACAGAGACCAAGAACCATTCGCGCTCACAATCACACCTAGGGACAATTTCGAGTGTTCAAACAGCCTGCTATGCATGTTTTTGGAATGTGGGAGGAAACCGGAGTACCCGGAGAAAACCCACGCAGGCCCGGGGAGAACATGCAAATTCCACACAGGGAGGCCGGAACTGGAATTGAACCTGGTACCTCTGCACTGTGAACTTGACGTGCTAACCACTGGACTACCTATGTTCAACTTCCCGATGATATTGTTTTTTCTTTGTTTAATTAAAAAAAAAAAAAAAAAAAAAAAACCTTGTCCCAGGGATGCATTTAAAAACTAACTAAAATGAATTCCAACAATGTCCTTGGTTTTAGCCTTTGTTCATTACGATCACACATGAGGCTTCGGCGGTTCAAATGAATGGATTGCATTTCAGGGGCTGCAACAGAAACCGTACCCCCCCCCTCCCAAAAAAAAAACCTTTTCGAACGACGGCTCACGTCTCGCAAAACTCTCAAGTTGAGGCATTTTTATACATCTCAAGGCATTCCCCTACCGAAGTTGTCGGATGAATTGTTGCAGCCTTACCGCCGGAATGTGATAAAAACCAGGACGATGTCTGCGGTTCGAACATGGCGTGCTCTTGAGCTGCGAGACCGCAATTTATGAACGCTAAAGCGACAAGTGCATGTGTGTTCCCCCCCACAAATGCAACAAACGCAAGGCTTGACGTGCGAGCACCAACGGACATCAACAAGGACGGTTTGCGGTCTGGCACAAAGTCCGAATTTGTGGGCGGCTCCCGAGTGCGCCGAAATGTTAAGTGGAAACACAAGTGTGTGCGTGTACGTGTGTGTGTGTGTGGGCGGTTGAAGGTCAGTATACAAGCGGCACCTGAAGTCTTGAAAGCTTGCCTGCTTGCGGTGGTTAATGGCTGTAAATACTCGCGGGGGATGTAAACACACGTTGGGCTCCGATTCCAAGTGTGTGCTTCCTCTGCGGCGGACCCGCGGCGGCGGGGGGGCCCCCCCTCGCGCAAGCGCAGCGTGTTTTGAGTGTGGTTAGGACGAGCAGGTGCTTTTCGCGTGAAATGGAGCAGATGTACATCCATGCTGGGATTGCACTGTAGAGGGAGTGTGGAAAAATGAAGGGTTGGGGGTGAGGGGTAATGGACTAAATTGAGGGGGGGTGCGAAGGAAGAGCCAGAACAGACGTGGGGAGACAAAGCGTTCGGGGGATCTGGAGAGTATTTGCGTGGACTGGGAGGGTGTGGGAGCGGGCAGGGCCCTCCCTCGTGACATCTCCAGGCTATGAGAAGGGAGAGATGGGACAGGGTGGCAGAAAAACTCTCCCAAATATTGAAAAATGGATATTTTTTTTAAACATCTCAGCGAATAGGGCGGCCCGGTGGTTCAGTAGTTAGCGCATCGACCTCACAGTGCAGAGGTACCGGGTTTGATTTCAGCTCCGGCCTTTCTGTGTGGAGTTTGCATGTTCTCCTAGTGCCCGCGTGGGTTTTCTCCGGGTACTCCGGTTTCCTCCCACATTCCAAAAACATGCACGGCTGGTTAACGGAACACTCGGAAATGTCACTCGGTGTGAGTGTGAGCGTGGATGGTTGTTCGTCTTTGTGTGCCTTGCGATTGGCTGGCAACCGGTTCAGGGTGTCCCTTGCCTACTGCCCAAAGCAGGCCGGGATAGGCTCCGGCACACCCCGCGACCCTTGTGAGGATAAAGTGGATGGATAGATGGATCTCAACGAATATGCAAATCTGCGGGTACCGAAGCGCGAGTACTTGGGGCTCGACCGTATTTATAAACTCACAATCCTGAACATTTTTGGGAGTGCACTTATCTCGAGGGGGGATGTTCCAGACCCACAAAAAAAAAGTCCTAATCATCCAGCGGGCTGCTCTCCTCTTTGGCCCCCTCCACAGGTTTTCAACGGGCTTGAGGTCTGGGGACTGACATGGCCGTGGGAGGAGCTTAATTCTGCGGCTACGAATTTCAGAATGAGAGTGTGCTTCTGCGAGTAAATCTGTCTCAACTGAGTTATTGTACCGCGTTTGCGTTGTTCATCATCGGATGCTAATTCCGCATGAAGATCATGAACGTTTTGCTCACGCAAGGGAAACTTTGCATGCTTCAATGGAGGCGCTCAGGACTTATGAGACGAGATGTGGCGGAGTCTGAAATTGTGGACAGGGAAGAAGAAGGCGCGGGCGAAATGAACCGCTGGCGTCTTCGCTCGCGGCCGCCTTCATTCACGTGCCAAATCTTGTAAAAAAAAAATGAAAACTTTCATGCGGGCGACACAAACCAGACGGCTTTTGTTTACACGCTGGGACCGCCTCATCTCAAAGTCAACACTGACTGTTACCGTGACGACCACTTTTGGTTCGCATCGCATGACACATTCCTGGATGTAGTAAGTGGTGCCTTGAGATAAGAGTTCAGTTTGTTCCGTGACCACCCTTGTAACACACAACATCCATATCTCAACTCAGCATTCCCGATTGAAATGCTTAGAAAAGTAATGAATACATCGGAGCCACCCCTAAAAAAAATTTAAATGGGGGGGGGGGCACTCTACAAAGTAACCTCATTGAATAGAATGTCGAGAACTAAACGGTTTCTGCATGATGCTTTAATGCTGCAGTCCAGTTCAGTGTGCTGCTCCTTCTGTTGTGCCCACCTTGGCCACCAGGTGGTAGTATATGAAATACAAGCAGACGCAAACCAAGAAGAAGAAACTTACTTCATCCTCTTCGACTCAGATTTTGTTATATTGTCGTTTTTTTTTTTTTTTTTTTTTTTTTTTTATGGATAAAGAATATATGACTGTGATGGGCCAAACGCGGCAGCGATCAGGTTGTTAATCTTGACACCGGGGCTCTCATTTTGGTCCCCCTTCGGGAATGTCGCCTTTCCCTCCAGAGGTCAAGGCCTACCACCCCGATCCACCCCACCCCCCACCTGAAAAGTCCAAAAGGTTCACATCTCCACGCGCCTTCCCTCGTACAATCGCTCATTGTTGCCTCGCTGCCACCAATCAACTTCTTTGCTCGTAAACTGCTTGAGTGGGATTTATTTCACCAGGCAAACTTGGCCTGCTGGAATAATCAAGGAGTGAGCTGCTCTCAAAGCCAACTCACGTCCCAAAAACTCCCTTCCTCATTTCACTGCACGTCTTTACATCATGTTAGGGTTTGCTGTTTTTTTCCATTCCCTAAGAGAGAGGGAGGGAAACAAAAAACTAAACAAAACAAAACAAAAAACACCCTAGGAAATAAAGCTATCGATCTTGATACGACTGAAGAATGGTCCATTTTCAAGTGGAATGCTTCCATTTGGTTCCATTCAGTGGGATTACCATTCCATTCGATACCATACAACTGAAATTTTTTTCTCATAAGTCAAGACATCAAAAGGCGCACCAAAGCTCCAACTCATCAATTTAATTCAATTCAGAGGGACATCCAATCATCAGCAACTTCAAAGCGATGTGTGTGCTTTTTTTTTTCTCAGAAAAGACCATTCGACACGTATCTCCATCCATGACATGCCATACCATTCTAGGACGACACATTTTTGAATGGAACGATCCAATGCAGTCCGTTTTTTTTTTTTTTTTTTTTTAACTCAAATGCATTTTCGGTACTCGTTTTTCCTAAAAGAAAAGACAGGTCACTTGATTCCCGTATGCCAACTTGTTGGGGGTGTTTAAATCAAGAGAAAGCTTTCTGTTGTTGTTGCTGGCACCATCGGAGGCGGCGGTAGCGGCGGCCCGCCGCGGCGAGTGACGGCGAACCGTGGAGAAACCTTTGTCAAGAAAACACCAGCCTGAGCTGACAGAATGAGTGAAGGACATATGCAAGCAAAGAACAGCTGCAAGAAAAGTCAATGCAGCTGCTCAAAGGGTGTCTTCTCGACGTGGAGTGCAAAAGTACACGCGCGCACACACAC